ATTCTATGATATTCTTTGGACTCGGGCAGACATGGCTATGGCAGCATGCTTGTCCGTTTTCCCATTCTTACCTATTCTATGATATTCTTTGGACTTGGACAGACATGGCTCTAGCAACATGCTTGTCCATTTTCCCACTTTTGTCTGTTCCGTGATATTTCCTTGGACTTGGGTAGACATGGCTCTGGCAGCATGGTTGTCCATTTCCCACTTTTTCCCTTTTGAATATATGCCAAATAAAACTTTCCTTTTGCTTTACTAGACTTTATGATGTTTTTCCCCTACAACAGAATGCATATGAGGCAACTGAAAATACCACGCATTGTCCTCAAAGTGACATCCTTGCTTTTCAACACTTTAAAGAGGTTTTTTGCAGCAGATTTGCCCAATTGCAATGTGTCTTTTGATTTCTTGACTGCTGTTTCCATGGGCATTGATTGTGGATCCAAGTAAAATGAAATCCTTGATAACTTCAATCTTTTCTCCGTTTATCATGATGTTGCTTATCGGTTCAGTTGTGAGGATTTTTGTTTTCTTTATATTGAGGCGTAATCCATACTGAAGGCTGCAGTCTTTGATCTTTATCAGTAAGTGCTTCAAGTCCTCTTTGCTTTCAGCAAGAAAGGTTGTGTCATCTGCATATCGCAGGTTGTTAATGAGTCCTCTTCCAATCCTGATGCTGCATTCTTCTTTATATAGTCCAGTTTCTTGGATTTATTTGCTCAGCATACAGATTGAATAAGCGTGGTGAAAGGATACAACCCAGATGCACACCTTTCCTGACTTTAAACCACGCAGTATCCCCTTGTTCTGTTCAAATGACTGCTTTCTTGGTCTATGAACAGGTTCCTCATGAGCACAATTAAGTGTTTTGGAATTCCCATTTTTCATGATGTTATCCATAATTTGTTATGATCCACACAACATACCCCAAAGGTCACACAATAAAAGATGGAGTCAAGATGCAAACCCAGGCAGTCTGAAGGGAGAGGCCCCTGCATTATCACCTTAATTCTGTTAGCTTCAGATGAGGCTATGCAGTGTTGCCTCATTCATGAAGCCTTTTTGGATTCTACTCAATGTATCACTCCTTTCTCTGAACCTCCATTTCATGATTTCTGGCCATTTTCTGCTTTCTTTGATTGTTTATGGCCTCTGTACTCGATGGAGATACAAAGATTAAATAAGAAGATGTAATTTAGTTCCTTTTTGCATAGCCTCTCTCCCCTATTAAGCATCTTCCTGAAATCAGTAATCTTGTCTTCCTCGTAACTCCACAAGAGCTAAGATGCAAAAAGCAGGGGATTTGGATTCAGATAGACCTGGATTAGGATCCAGCCTGTACCACTTAACTAGCTCAATAACCTTGGACAAATTTCATCACCTGTATGTGCCTTAGTTCTCTGCAATACTAGTAATTTTTTATTGAGCACTACTGTGTGCCTGGCAGAGTACTAGGCACTAGGGTTACAGCAGTGAACAAAACAGACAAGCTCCCTGCTTTCTTGGAGCGTATGTTTTAATAGGGAGAATATTGTTGTTGTTGATGTGTGCTGTCGAGTTGATTCTGACTCATAGCAACCCTATAGGACAGAGTAGAACTGCCTCATAGGGTTTCCAAGGATCGGCTGGTGAATTCAGACTGCCAATCTTTTGGTAAGCAGCTGAGCTCTTAACCACTGCACCACCAAGGACAATACATAATAAAGAAATAAAATAGGATAATTTTAGATAGTAATAAGTGCTATGAAGATATGAAGGAGAGGATTAGGGAAGGCCACTTTGTAGTGTGGCTATTTGAGCTGAGGTCCAAAGAATAAAAAGCCAGCCATATGAAAATCACAGAGGAAACAACTATTAATTTACTCAGAAAATTTTTGGTCTCCTACTCTGTGCCAGGAACTGTTCTAAGATACTGGGGATACAGCTGTGAAGGTAACAGACCAGATTCGTGATCTCATGGAACAGACATCCCAGCATGTGAGTACAGGGGGCAGGGGTGGGTACAATAAAATAGGATGGTATAAGAATAAGGGACTCAGTAAGGGCTAATTTTGATTGGTTGGTCAGGGAAGTCCTCTCTGAAGTGGTGACATTTGAACTGATATCTGAGTTAAAAAAGGAGTCACCCATATTAAGATCTGAGGGAAGAGTGTTGCAGGCAGAGGGAACAGCAGGTACAAAGGCCCTAGGATGGAATGAGCTTGGTGTATTCAAAAAAGAGAAAGGAAGCCAGTTTTGCTGGAACATGGTAAGAAGTATACTAGATGAGGGTACAGATCATGTAACCTAGTGTAAAGAGTTAAGATTTTATTCTAAGTGCAATGAAAAGCCATCTGGGGCTTTTAAGCAGGAGTGACATAATTTAACGTTTTAAATCATGGGAGAGAGGGACAAGAGTAAACAATGGATGGTAGGACATTAAGAATGGAGGCAGAGAGACCACTTAGGAGCCCTTGCCAGGTGAGAGATGGTGACTTGGCTCAGAGAGGGAGTAGGGGAGATGTAGAGTGGTGGACAGATCCAGGATACAGTCAGGAGGATGAATAAGCAAACCTTAAAACGGGCTGCTTGGCATGATTGAAATGGTTAATCCCAGACCTAAATTGAAATTCTATTTTAAATTAAGCTGCAACTAGGTTTGAAGCTCGCCTTTGTCTTCTACAAAAGACAAGCTGGCTTCCTGTGAAAGTTTTCATTGCTTATGACATAAAGAGTGTAGAATTTATGTAAATTATCTTGCTATCTTAACTGCTCTCGGGCAATTAATCCAGTGTATACCTAGGCCCTAACTCACTCCCTCCCAGCCAGATGGGCAATGTTTATGTTACGGGACCTTAAAAAATACCTAGTTAATTAGTACTCCACCAGTTATCAGACCACTCCCAGTCACCTCCCCACCACGTCGCTCACTTCCTCTAAGTTGTTTTGCAGACCCTCTGGAGAATCCCAATGAATCTGGATCTAACCGGCTTAAGGAGGTCAGACATGTGCACAGCAGACAAGAGTGACTGACAGACGACTTCGGCCCCCCATGCATGCTCAATAGCATGGGAAAACTGAGGTCAAGGAACCAAAAGATTCATCTAGGAACTTAAATCACCAAACCATGTCGTCTGCAGTAGCCGAGTCTACTTCAAAAGCGAACAGTCCATCCGCCGCTTCCGTGCCAAGTCTTAGCCCTGCCCCATAATAAATAATCAATAGAAACTATGAATATGTAGAAAATGTGAATATGTAGAACTTCCTGATCCTGCCTACCTGCCTTCCTCCACCCCTATATGAATATGCATAATTCCCCAAACCTATAAAATGTGAATGCTTCCTCAAGTCAAGGAACTCAATCTGAGGTTGATACCTCTGAGTTCCCACTTGCTAGCCTGTGAAATAAAGTCTTTCTTCCTCTCAAAACCAGCGTCTGAGAGATTGGGTCCTTGCACACTGGCCAAGGACGCATTGGTCCGGTTTCATTTACATTTCAAGAGGCTTCAAGTTAGAGCTGATTTAATTTTCCTAACCAAATGGTCGACTTTTACATTTCAAGGACTCCAAATAGGGTTGAGCCAGCCTACAATCAATCACTAAACCCCCATCAGGAATGCTTACATAGCTTGCTTTAGAAATATTGCTTTAGTCAACTTGTATTGCGAAATAAAAGATTGATGTTAGGCTAGAAATTGATGTTTAGGAAAGTTTGTAGTTTGACAACCCCTTGTAAACTTTTTCTTCCTTATCCTGTGCCCCCTTGGATGTAAAACCACCTGCCTTTGTTATTCTGCCTGATAAATACCTCATTGCTCTCCCTGTAAGCCAGAACACATGCTGCCTCTTGCTTGAGTGCCCGTGGGATTCTCCATTTTGTGAAAGGATCTTGTCTTTTTCCTTCGATAAAATCCTTTGTCGTAATTTCTAGAGGAGGGTCAGTGTAGTGTTACCACTAGGACAAGGAAGACACCTAGAGTTTTGTTCTGAATTCGGTAGTGAGTTTACTGAGATGAGCAAAGCTAGACTGGGGGAATCAGAGTTCTGCTCATAACTGTAATAACAGTTATTATTCATTGCGTGCTATCTATGTGCCACACCCTGTGCTAAACGACCTAAAGAATTTCTCCTATTAAAAATTCACAACACTGTCGGTGAGTGCTTTGCCCTAGTTTGGTTAATAAAGAAGCTCAGATCCGTGGGAGTCTTACCGCTAAGACGCGGTCGAAGCCTCATCCACACCTAAGTCTGCCTACCTCTACCAAAAATGTTCACCTTAGGTACCACGATCTCTTCTCTGTAAAATGCGGACAATTTCCTCGTGGGGTTGTTAGGAGAACTGAAAATAAGATCTGAGGCAGGCATCCGTTGCACTGTTGGCGTGGAATTATCGTCCCCGCCCATTTCGCCGACGTCCCTCCGCCCCCGCATCCAGCCGGCGGTTCAATGTGAATGAAATTCCGAGACTTGTAACCAAGATAAAGCCTCCTTCCCGCAATTGGTTGGCGCTGGAGGAGGCGCCTTCTGATTGGTGAAGAGTCCGAGGAGGCGGGCGAGGGGAAACCTTCTACCGCAGGTGCCCTCGTTTGGCTCCACCCCGCTCTTACGTAGTTTTCTACGACGGGCGGGAACTGGGGCTGAAAGGATTTCTGCGGCGGCGCGACCTTCTGACGATTCCTCTTATAATTGGCCGCGAGACGCGGCTGCAGTTCTGAGACCTAATTGGTCGCCTGCGCCGCCTCTGAGGTGAAGTGTACCGCGCTGATTGGTTCCGAGGCGCCGGCAGCGTGTGATGCCCCGAGCAACCATTGGCCGTAGCCGGCTGCGGCTTCTCTCACCGGACTGGACTCCCGGGAAGTGGACTGGCAGAGGAAGGGGGCAAGCTAGCTGTCGCCGCGGTCCGAGTAGGAGACCCCCGGGGTGAAGCAGCCTCACAGGGCGGGGTGGGCTGGCGAGCCGACGCGGCTGCCGAGGCGGCTGTGAGAAGAGCGTGGGCCAGGGTCCGGGACAGAGAAACCATGGCCCCACAGAACCTGGGCACCTTCTGCCTGTTGCTGCTGTACCTCATCGGAGCCGTGATCGCTGGGTGAGAGACAGGCACCCCGCGGGCAGGGGGCACGTGAGCCAGCTTTTGCGAGGGAGGAGGCTGGCTGGGGGCAGGTTGGGGGCGTAGCATTGCTGGGCTGAGGGAGTGGAGAGGGGCAGTGCCGTGGTGAGGCGGTGGGGAGGAGGAATGAATAGTGCAGGCCAGGCTCGTGGGGTGGAGAGGTGCGCTGTGGGTGACACGAGTGAGAGGGGCTTAGATTCAGAGGCCCCAAAGACCTGAACTGGCCCAGGGGAGTGGGAGTTGGATCCAGTGCCAAACAGCAGTGGCGGGAGGAGGAGGGGCGTATTTGAAGGGAAGCAGGTGATTGTGAGCGAAAGCAGTGTCACGCAGAGGTGGGAGAGGGAAGGGGCGCCTGACTATAATGAAGGAGTGACCGTGGCAGGCTGAGGTTGAGGGCATGAGCAGATCTTTGGTCAGAGAGGTGGGTTGTGTGCCTGCGATGCAATGCTGAGCCTGCGACGAGCCACTGGGGGGTTGATATTAAAGTGGGTGGGTTATGATGCAGGCTGAGTGAGGAAGTGAGGGGAGCAGGTAGGGAAGCCGTGCTGTGACTGAAGAAAATGAATTGAGGAGCAAGGCAGACGCTTTGGGGAGCACTTATTCTTCTTCCCAGCTTCTTGGAGTATTGAGCCTAAGCTGTTATTGTGTGTCACTGTCGCTCTCAGTGATGCCTTCTTGAGAAGCTGAATGATATTATGAGCAGAAGTTCACCGACTAGTAGCTGACTGGGATTCTAGCCTACAAACCCCACCCCACTTACGGGTTATGTGACCTTGAAGGAAGCATATAAATTCTCATCTGTAACACGAGGATAATGTGCCACCTGTATGAAGAGAGGAGGACCAGATGAACTCTTGAGGATCCTTCCTGTCTTTCAGATCCACGATTCTATATGTTTGGTGACCATAGGATATGTATGCCGGGCTCGTATTTCAGAATGCAAGGATTAGTAGGGTCTTAACTTCTGACAGTTTATACCGTGTTCTACGTAGGGGCGATAGTACTTAGCAGCTTTAAAATGTATGTGCTTCGTATTTTCTTAAGAGTTTTTTTTTTTTTTCTATGTGCGTTTATGCTTACAGTTTTGTTGTCATTTTGTGAAACATTAGATGTCTAAAATATTTACTTATCCTAGGTAATGCTTTATTGTTTTTTTCTCAGGATGTTTTTTGTAGTTCTTTTTACATTTAAAGCAACAAGTACCCTAAAAAAAAAAACAAACCCAAACCGGTTGCTGTCCAGTCGATTCCGACTTATAGTGACCCTGTACAGTACAACTGCCCCATAGTTTCCAAGCAGCGGCTGGTGGATTCAAACTGCCGACCTTTTGGTTAGCAGCCTGAGCTTAACCACTGTGCCACCAGGGCTCCCAACAGGTACCCTAAGGTGTTTAAATACAATGTTGATATCGATGTTAATACTGTAGCTTTAAACTTGAGTCATTCATAAAGGAGCCTCTTGGGAATGGTAATGTTGATGCTGGGCTATACTAGCCATCACTTCTCTTCATTTTTTTGAGCTGTTACTTAACCATTTGTATATTAAGTATATTCTAAGCAAGCCTCATTCTTTATACATTTAGCCCTTTTGTTATTAATTATAGCAATCCTTTTGATTTATTTAGTCCTTATCATAAGAGATGTCAAGATTTTACACATTTTTGAGGGGAGCAAAAGGCACCTAATTAATTTTCACGTAACCCCTTGTGGATGATAATTTTTAAAAAAGTTACATGAACTGGTCAAATGTTTTTTTCCTAAATGTGACTAAGTCTTTATGAATTTTTTTTTTTTTTAATATTCTGTCCTGTATGACCTGGGTCTTGGTACCCCAATGCAGTTATTCCCCAATGCATTTTTAAATTACCATCACTACTACATCAGTGTCACTATTGTGAACAACTTTCCCACCCCCATTGTTGAGAGAAGGCATTTTCAGAATAACTTGCAGTGGCAAAAGGAATATGTAGATTTTTGTGTGTGTGTGAATGTTCTTATTTATTCATTTCAGTCAATGAATATTTATTGGTTTCTTCTATGGGCCAAATACCATCCCTGCCCTGAAAGTTTTTATAGTCTTATTCTACCTTCCCAGTGACCCTTCTTGCAAAGATCCCGGTTAAGATTAATTTGGTTCCAGCATAGTCCCTGGTAAGGAGGTCAGTGGATCTCTATGTCATCTCCCAGGTTACGCCGTATGCATACTCATGGCTTTCTAAGACATATAGACTCCTGCATATGGGCTTCAGTGTTTGTCTGTAACTAAGACTTGACCTAGACTAACTAGTATAACTAGAAGATTGATATTTCTTCTGGCTTGCTCCTTCAGCAAACACACCACAACTTATACATCCAAATGGATAACATTTTCTCTTTAGAGTTGTTATTTGGGCTTTGGTTTAACCTCTGTGTTAACCTCTGAAGTTAGCTTTAGTCACTTCGTCTTTAACATTCCAGCAGTTCTACTGTTAATCAGAACATTGATGTACCCATCTTTCTGAGTAAGGAAAATCATCCTTTGAAGTTATTATTTGACTTTTGGAAACAGTCAAAAGCCATTTCGAGTCAGTACAGGGAAATAAAGAGGAGAGTTAATTTGATTGTACAGCTATTGGCTGAAAATAAGCTGTGACCATAAAATAAGAGGATTTTTCTTGACCAAAGGTAGTTTCTAAAAGAAAAATGCCACAGATGTTTTGAATAATTCTAGCATTGCTCAAAAAGTACATAGCCTCTCATTGTGATACTTTATATAGGACTAGTGTTCTCGTTCTAGTCACTCTTTTTTTTTTTTCCATCATATGTATACCTTCATTTTCCTAACTCTTTACTCAAACCTAAATGTAAACGAAAAAAACCCTCACTTTTATAAAATGTAATGTACAACTCTTTGATACGTCTTCTCCCCCTACCCCCACCAGGCGAGATTTCTATAAGATCTTGGGGGTGCCTCGAAGTGCCTCTATAAAGGATATTAAAAAAGCCTACAGGAAACTAGCCCTACAGCTTCATCCGGACCGGAACCCTGATGACCCGCGAGCTCAGGAGAAATTTCAGGATCTGGGTGCTGCTTATGAGGTAAGTCAGGAAAAAAGGATCAAGTATGAACAAAACCTACAGATTACAGAACAGACCACAGAGCCTGGAGAAACACTCTCTTCTTTCAGGTCACTTCTATTTAAAAATGATAAAAGTAAAAGTCATACTTGTCTGTATTGCACCAGATGTCACCTTCATGTTAATAGATGACATTTCCTTCTTCTTTCCATGTTAGTATTGCTTTTATTAAGGAGAGTAATGTTGAAAAGATATGAATGAGAGAAAGTAAGATTAATAGACTAATGAGTAGGTTGATCATCTATAAGCAACCAGTCACGATTTGGGAGCGGGAGCCAGAAATACAAAGTCTAAATGCAAACCCGCACGCCCATAGGGACCAGACAAATAACATGCAGGGCAGGTATGAGATACAACAGGACAGTGGATTCTGCCTCTGTAATGGGGAGCAGTATGGAATGATAAGGCGTGTGACAAGCTAGAGCCTTCCTGCCCCATCTCAAGGCAGCGGCTGTTACCTAGCCAGGTGTTGCCCCATGGAACTGCAAACACTGTATTAACCAGATGATCTGAATTTTTTGAGAGAAGTTGGAAATCCAGATTTGTATGTAAATTCTCCTGATTGTAAAAATTAGTTAACTAATTCAGTAAAATTACAGATCAAATAAAACACAGTGATAGTTTGAATCCTCAACCTCTAATGTAGAAGTCAAAATACTTTCGTGTGTATTGTCTCATTTACTTTTCACTGGGACACCATGAACTATATCAGAGCAGGGCATATTTCTCTTCCCATTTTTTAAAAGGGCACCAAAAAAGAAAAAAAAAACTATTTTAACTCCAAAAATCATAGAGATAAAACTGAATTCAAATTAAGTCTCTGTATAGTAAAGAGGCTGGGAACAAATCTGAAAAATATTTTAGTAGTGGAAAGAACCCAGAAGGAAGGGATCCCAGAGGCTCCTCTCCCCCCCAATTAAAGACACCACGGGACTGAAACAGTGACTAATATCCATGTGAAACCTAGGGCTGATGGACTCCCCATTTTTCCTTCACACCTTCAGGGGGCCTATAGGACAGAAATTCTTAACCTGGGGCCCATGAACTTGAGAGGGTTGGTGGGCCCTCTAAAATTATGGGTAACAGTTTGTTTCTTGTTGATAATATACCAGATTCCATATTTTGCATGTATTTCCCATGAATGGTCCCATTATTTGCTAGAAGCCCAGTAGTCAAAAATATTTTCTAGGGAAGCTGTTGCTAAGAATTCACCATGCTCTTTCAAGAATCTATCATGTTCTTTATCCATGCCCTGGGCAGGGGTCCCTGTACATAGAGGATTCATGGGACTGCAGTTTGTGAAACTGATGAAAAACTTTCTAGTTACAAGTCAACATTTCTTCCTTCTTTGAAACAGTCAGGCTCGCTTGCCTTTGGTCCTTAGGTAAACTAGTGTTCACAAATCAGAATCCCAGGACAGTGTGAACAGTTCTTTTGTGAAGACAGGTTTGTCTTCTCTACTGAGCTGGGATTACTGCTGGCATTTTAATTAGTTGAGACCCTGAGTTGTTTGGCCAAAGTCAGCTAAGAAACCCCTCCTCCTCCTTTTTTTTAATAAAATAGTTTCCAAGATCGTGGAGTACAATTGCATTCCTTAGCCAGAGGAAAACTGAGTGCAAATAGATGACTCCAAGGGCAGTTTTTTTGAGAGTTATTATAGAAGCCTCTCATGTCTAAAAGGAAACTGGCTTAAAAGTGTCTTTATTTGGGGGTTTTGAAAATGATGTTGTTTATAGACGCAAATATGAAGTTCCTTTCTTGGCCAAGAAAAGACCAGAGAGTTAGAAATTCAGATTACCTACTAGTAAGAGGGCTGTTTTTGCTTTTAAGTTAGTTATGCCCCTCTCTGCTGCTGTGCCCCTCTCTGCTGCTATGCCCCTCTCTGCTGCTCCAAAGCACCTCTTTTCTAAGGATGTTTGGGAGAACATTCCTCTCTCTTACCTTCTGTTTTTGGCCCATGATAGTGACTTTGGTCATTTCTGAACTAACCCAGAAATGAGTTTTTGCTTTTAAGAATGCTCACTCTCTGTAAACTCAGTTTCTATTTATCTCTTTAAATATGTCTTAATGTCAGTGGTTAAGCGTTTGGCTGCTAACCAAAAGGTCAGCAGTTCGAATCCACCAGCTGCTCCTTGGAAACCCTATGAGGCAGTTCTACTCCGTTCTGTAGGGTTGCTATGAGTCAGGATTGACTCGACAGTAACAGGTTTGGTTTGGTTTTTTAATGTCAGGACATTTTTGTCATGGCTTCATACACATCTTTGAGGCCCTGAGCCAAAAGTGTGTTGTTTGAATATGCCAGACAGGTTTTTTCTTTTGCTGAGTCAACAACCACTATCTACTTCCGACCTCTCTTTTCTTGGGCCATCTTGAGTTTGGGCTTGAAATAACTTTCTCTTACAGTCTTCTATCTAAGTAGGAGTTTATGAATATCAAAAGAAGATTGTAAAGCTATTTAATTTTCAAAGATACATGTGTGCATATATTGCAGATGGCTCTGAATGGAAGGGAAGCTTTTGTTTGTTTGTTGTGCATGTTGAAGATAAATTTTGAAGAGTGTGGAAGTTTCTTGTGTTTTTACATTCCTCAGCATTGTATATGGGGTCGGTGCAGCGAGGAAGCATGAAGCTATGACTGTGTATTAAAACCATTAAAACTTAATAATTCTTTGCAAACCGTGAAACTGACCTTGAGCAACCTTTATAGAGCAATGTCCCTGTCTACCCTCTCTGCAGTTCAAACTCAGGACATAATGAACTGAAATACATATTTCATACACACAGGCCCAGATGGCATTGTTCCACAAGTAGATTTCTATATACACCAAAAAATGGAAAAACAGTGTCTGGAGATATAGCAGTATAGACCTTTCTAGAGGGGCTAGGGTCTGATTACCCTGATCTGCTAATCACTTAATGCCTGGTGTGTGTGTGTGTGTGTGTGTGTGTGTGTACACGCACATGTCTTGGACATATAAGGTAGGGCAGAGCTATTTTTAAGGCTTTCCTAGCCTACTGCTTCTATCACTAATGACGATCTGTCATACTTACATCCTAGTTGTGGTTTAGAGAGGCGATAGAGCAAACCACACGGGAAGTAAACCTGAGGGATCGTCGCACCTCTTGCTTCTCACCTTCACAGACACGTTGCTCATCTCAAATACAATTTTGAAGTGCCTAAATTCTGATAAATTTAAATGGAGAACGTAAACAACGTGGAAGTTACAAAATGGACAATACATCAAAAAATTTAGTCTGTTAGAGAAAATAACTGTTTACAACATGTCTTAATAATACGTACATTCCACAAAAATCTTAGACACAGTGTCAGAGTGAAAAAACGTGAATCTGAACATGCCTTGACTGAGTATTTTCCTCCACTGACTTTACACCCAGGTCCTGTCAGATAGTGAGAAACGGAAACAGTATGATACTTACGGTGAAGAGGGATTAAAAGACGGTCATCAGAGCTCCCATGGAGACATTTTTTCACAGTAAGTAATTTGCCCATCTGTAAAGTCTCGGTGTCTGGGAATGGGTCACTTGGTGGTTATTAAAGAATTCTCCTTGCTCAGAACCTTTTGGTGCAGAGCGCAGCTGTTCAGGTCCTTGACCAAGGATCAACCACCATCCTCCCTGGGAAGCTAGCCTTCTCCATTTTCACAAAGCTTCAGGAAAAACAGCCCTGAAAAGGCCGTCCATTTAGCCAACCACATCAGTCAAATCAACCCTGACAATTTTAGGGGGGCTTATGTGGAAGCCAGTTCATCCTCACTGTCTCTTGGAATCTGCAGATCATTTAATGAGCAAAATCATTCTTGTAAGCAGAGAGAAAGAAATCTCTACTCCCATACCTAGAGCTGCCTCTTTTTTATCCCTGTCAACAAGAAAGGGATGGTTATGATAGTCAGCCATGGGGAAAAGAATTGGGGTAAGGACTCTCTCCTGCAGTGCATAGCTTTCTGGGAGTGCTGAGTGGCTCGATAAATTAGCACCTTTGCCCTTGGAGCCCCTCTCTCTTAAGCATTTGAGTTTCCACACGCCCTGATGATGGCATATACTAAACAACAAAAAAAAAAAATCAAACTCTTTTTCATCAGTGGATTTCGACTCAAAGCAACCCCACGTGTTACAAGTAAAACTGAGCCCCATAGGGTTTTCTTGGCTGTAAAGTTTACAGAAGCAGATCACCAGACCTTTCTTCTGGGGCGCTGCTGAGTAGGTTCTAACCGCCAACCTTTTGGTTGGTAGCCAAATGCAAACTCTGCTCCACCCAGGGACCTTGCCATATACTGCGAGATCTTAGGCTGGGGTTTCAGGTTTGAAATTATAAACGAACAGATGTTTGAATATGCATTTTTATGGGGAGAAGTCTGGTTGCTTTCTTCAGATTCTCAAAGGGTTCATGAACCTTTCCCCGAAAGAAGTTAAGAATGACTGTTGCATACAGTAATTTCCCCCATTTTTTGTTTAGGGTGACAGTAGATTTCCAGGTCTTGCAAGGATGTACGAGTAATATAATTACAGCATCTTTTACTTCCCCAGGATTGATTTTGATGTTTTGGCCTACTGGGGATGTGTCCCGTTTCCCCCAGCTGTTTAAAGCAATACCTCGGGGTGCCACGAAGAGAAAAACTCCTCCCCGCCCACCGCTTTTATTTCAGGCTCAGGGAAGCCATTCACCGGGGTTGGTGGCAGGGGAGTTACATAGTTGTCATCATCACTGTGCTAATACCTGAGGCTTCTTTGTAATACCAAAAATCCACATTAAGATTAGAATTCCTGCACAACTGAAGGCTACTGTTTATATTCATTTCAAAATGTTGCTTTTGTGATGGTGTGGCAATATAATTGATGTTTTATAATAAAAATTGTGTATGCTGGATGACTCGAATGTATTAAATAAAAATGTCTTTTGGTTTTGCACAGCAAGTTGGTAGGACACAATATTCTATCAGCGTAAAGGGAAGTAAATAATTGTGAAACAGGGATTCTTCTTTCTTTTCCTGACGGTTTTGCACTTACTCACAGCTTCTTTGGAGATTTTGGTTTCATGTTTGGAGGAACCCCACGACAGCAAGACAGAAATATTCCAAGAGGAAGTGATATTATTGTAGATCTAGAAGTCACTTTGGAAGAAGTGTATGCAGGAAATTTTGTGGAAGTAAGTGGTTCACGCTGACTGCCAGAACTTGTTCTTTTGACTAAAGTAGGTTTCTGAGTACCCTTTATTTTAGGGGGTGGGGAAGTGACCAGGCACACGGAATTGAGTTCACTCTTGGTTCATGATACACTCTTCTCAGTTTTTCATGAACTCAGCACCTAGCCCAAGAACTCAGTAAAATACCATGACTTACATCTACCTAATGCTACTTCCTGTTCCCCTCCCCTGCCTGTCTTCTTGGGTAACGACTCTCCTGCATATTGTGTTTTTTGTTGCCTGGCCATTTTTGTTTGTTTGTTTTATTACACATACATGAGTACCTGAGTAATATATTGTTTTTGACTTTGGGAAGATGGTATCATACATTATCTTCTGGAACTGGCTTTTTTAAGTTACTAGGATTCATCCATGTTGTTTGTGGCTATAATTCTGCTGAATAAAATGTCATTAGGTGAATATACCATGATTTTTCAATAGGCATTTGGGTTATATTTCCAATTCCAAACAGTGCGTCTATGGGCATTCTTGTATGTAAATCCAGGCACACATGAGCAAGAATTTCTCTTGGGTAGGTACATACGTAGACATGGAATTCTGGGTAATATGAACAAGTGTTCTGTTTTATAAGATAATACTGTGTTTGCCAGCGATACGGTGATTGTCCCAGCACTTCCACTCGCAATTTTTAAGAGATCTATAGATTCACCACCTCTCTAAAACTGGGAATTGTTAGACTTCTTGAATTTTGCCCACAAAATGGTATCTCACCATGGTTTTGATTTCCTTTGCTCAATTAGGAATTAGGATAAAAATCTCTTCATATGTTTATTGGGCATGTGTGACCCTCTTGTGTGAATTGCTCCTTATAAGAGTGCTTTGTTCTTGCTCCTAATCCTTTGTTGGCCGTATATAATACAAATACAGACATGCGCTGCTAAGTCTGCCCCTCAGGCAATGTCCGACATTTGTGGTGGTGGTGGGGCCCTCCAGGGGATGCCCACAGCCCTACTTGGCAGTGAGCCCTCCCTGCCACTCCCCACCCACAGGAACAGGCACCCCTGCCCCTAGGAGGAGTGGGCACTGGATCCTGCTCTCCAGCGCACCCAAGGTCAGCAGGCATCGCAGGGCCTGGTTCGGGCAGGGGCGCCTGGTCGGGTCTGTAGCCGACACCTCTCCCCTGCTGCCGGGCTGCCCTGGAGCCAGCCCTTCTCCCTGCTGTGACTTTCTCAGGGCTGCAGGGTTGCGCGCTTGGCGGAACCGGCAGAGCGCTCACCTAAGGCCTCTGCGGGGGAGCCTCGCACGCCTCGGGCCCAGGTGTTAACGCGACATCCAAGTCACATAACTGCCGATTTCACAGAATCTGTTGGGGATGTTAAGCGATGCGTGACTGTATCCTACCAGTGTGTAACTTGTCTTTTCATTACATTGAAGATTAAATGAACAGAAGTAATTCATTTTAATGTGGTCAAAGTTATCAGTCTTTTCTTATATGGTTAATTTTGGTGTCTTGTTTAAGAAATTCTTCCCTGCCCCTAAATCAGGATGCTATTCACATATATATTCTACTAACACTTTGGGATCTTTTAATTTCTTGTTTGTTTTTTTTAATTCTGGGAATTTTATCTCCATTATTTCTTCAAATACTGAATCCTGTCCCCTGATACTTCCATCTGCTCTTAACTTTTATATATTTTTATATATATAGATATACACACACACATACATACATACGTATACATATATATATACACACACACATTCTATTTCTTTCTCCTTCCCTGCTGCTTTCTGAGAGAGGGCCTTATTCTGGTCTGACTGGTTCAGTCTTCAGCTATATCCGTTCTCATAATATCTGTGTTTTTATTTCAACTCGTATTTTTATACATAATATTTCTCCTTGATTCTGTTGTGATTTCTTAATATCTATTTTGTTTTGCTGATATCTTCCCTTACCTCGTTAAGTATTATCATGCTTGTTTTAAATGCTTGGTTCGTCTCCTCTAATACATTTGCTTCAAATATATGTGTTATCCACTTTGTTGTTTTTTGTTGGGGAGGCAGGTAGTTGGACTCCTTGGGTGTTGAGTTTATTTGGCCTGTGGCCTCTTCTTCCCCTCTGGATACCAGCACATCTCTTTCCCCGGTGGAGCGTATCGGGACAAGCCCTCAGCCGCTGGTTTGAACTGCATTTTGTTTGTTGTCTTGCTTTTGTTGTTGTTGTTGGTGTCTGGGGTCCTGCTGTTTTCTGTGGAGAAGGGACAGGCGGTACTTACCCCATGGTAGTTTAGGAGCGAGGACAGAGCTGCACCTGAGCTGCTTTTTTCTGGCGTCTTCTCACAGCCACCACCAGCTACCGTGGTCCCAGGTTGTAGCCTCCAGCCTACACGCGTAGCAGCTCAAATCAGACTTCCATCTCTGTGCTTTTCTCCCAGGTTTTGTCTTGGCGTTTCCTGGAATCCACGTTTTCTTGTAGTTTTTCCAGCGTTGGTTTTGCAGGGGACAGCTGGTCTCTTGTGCGTGTTTGCCATCTTGACAAGAAGTAAACGTTCTCGCCTTCGCTGTCGGTTTGCTCTGAGTGGCGGAGAGAAGAGGACTAGGCCATTACAGGAGATGTGACTGGCTGGTACTACTTCTGTTCAGTCTGCAGAATGGGAGAAAGGAGCCTTAAATACATGGCCATCTTGCCTTCAAAAACAGGAGATTGTTTAGGCGGGAGAGAGGGGTGAGCTTCGTTAACCCGTCTTCCCTGTTCTGCTGCCATTGCTGATACAGAGTGTGTATCACTTTTTGCAGGTAATGTGTTCCTAAACAAATTGCCTTTTAATATTATTGTAAAGGATGTAAGTGACCTTGCTATTTAAATGACCCCATGGTAAGTTATTTTTTAAGAAAAAATTACCTTGAGAAGTAGGCTAGTAGAGTGGTTAGAAGCGTGGCCTCTGAAGCCAGACTGCCTGGTTTAGAATCCGGCTCTGCTGTTTATTAGCTGTGTGACCTCGGTCACGGTACCTCACCTGTAAAATGGAGATGATAACAGTACCTATCTCATAAGGCCGTTGTGAGGATTCGGTGACTTCACAGATACAAGAGTGTTCAGAGCTTTGCTTGGCACAGTAGGTACTGTGAAGTGTTTGCTCTGGTTGCTATTGTTGTTGTCATTTATTCTGTTGACCTGGACTTCTGTATGTTGGTAGGCTTTGAGGGATTTTCCTCTGAGCATTTGTTTCATCCTGCTGAATGCACACTTACCTTGTGATTAGGTGTTTGACTAATTAAATAGGCAAAAACAGGAATACATTTCATATATGTATAATGATTTTCACATACTTGGAGAGGTCAGAATATTTGGTTGCAGCTCGTCTACACACATGCAAAGAGATGGTTATTGTCTCTAACTACGCGTTTCTGAATTGAGATAGCACTGGTAGACAGTCGTAGAGTGAGCTGCCTGAAACATGGAGGCATTTCGTTAGGTTAATCATGGGGTCAGGTTGTAGTCACATACCTCTTCTTCAGGTGTCGTGCTTCCCATGGCTCAGATTTCGTAAAAGAAGGTCATTCTGTGAAGTATCACTCAGCAGCATCTAGCTGCGGCCCAGAAACGCTGATTCCATACACATTGTTTTCCAGGTCTCTTCTTGGTTACTCTCCTTTATCTCCCCTCCTTCAGCTTTAGAATTTGAGTCATTTGAGTGTCTGTTTGCTTCATTCCTGTTTTGGGGCCAGTTTGTAACTCCTCAAAGAGTTTTGCGAGCTTTAGGTCACCCTGAGGGTTAACTTGCCAGAAAAGGAGAATTTCCAGCCCTGGCACATGCGAGGGCCCTGATCGGTTGAGGAAAGTAAAAGCTGTTTTACTTGAAAGAGCAGGCTTGATGCTTCTAGGCCAGGGTTCAGTCCTGAGGTACCCAACCCAGCTGATGTTGTTTGTGTACTTCTCAGGTAGTTAGAAACAAACCTGTGGCAAGACAGGCACCTGGCAAGCGGAAATGCAACTGCCGGCAAGAGATGCGAACCACCCAGCTAGGTCCGGGGCGCTTCCAAATGACCCAGGAGGTGGTCTGCGATGAGTGCCCGAACGTCAAGTAAGTGAAAGCACCTTCTTTGCCCAACCAGGAGACGGTCTAGTGATGCGATTTATCTAGGAAGATGCCGGCGGTCCACAGTTAGATTTTTCTCCTTCCCTTTCTCTCTCTCTTTCATGTCCTACCAGAGGATAGAGCAAAGAAATGTACTTTTTTTTTTTTTTTTTTCCGCAAAAAGTATTTATTCTAAATATCTCCTTACATGTTTCTGAACAGGCATTACCCTTTGTTTCTGAATATCTTTAACAAGTCTTAACATTGCATTTTGTTCGTACTTGGAATATTAAAGCAATCTTATATGTCCAGCCAACAATTCAGATTAGAGAAGTAATATTTGCTGATTATGTTATAAAAACAACTATTTAATTGAGCCTGAGTCCTAGAAAGCATTTTAAAGATAACAACTGTTGCCAGTTATCGACGTTGATGTTTAATACATTCCTTGGCACTCAACTCTGACAGATTTGTGACACCATGTGCTCCAAAAGTAGGCCTAACCCCCTAAAAAACCAAACCCGTTGCCATCGGGTCAATTCTGATGCATAGCGACCCTATAGGACCAAGCAGAACTGCCCCATAGGGTTTCCAAGGAGTGGGTGGTGGATTGAAACTGTCGACCTCTGGTTAGTTCTTTACCACTGCACCACTAGGGCCCCAAGTGTAGACCCAGTCACTGCTTTATTCTGCCTCTTCAGAACTCGCAACCGCCAGTCGTGACTGTGCGTGTGTGCGTGGCTCAGAGCTCTATCAGTTCCTCTGAGATCAGAAAAAAAATCAGACAGGATAAACCCTTGTGGTAGATTCCTAATAACGTGAGCCTGTCCCTCCGGATGCAAATTTATGTGAGTAGTTTAATGTGTTACTTATCCCACAGTTCAAGGTAATCAGCCTGCTGCAGGCTTTTCTGGAGGCAGCAGCTGGGTGTTTTTGTAGTATATAGGAGCTTTGTCCTGGATGTTGGAATGTAGGAAATATCCGTGGGAATCAGATAGCTTTGTTGAGTAGAGGTACAAGGGAGTCTTCTAAGAAAAAACTCTAATAAAACAGATAAAACTTTATCTATCTGGGACTTGGTTCATATCTTTATATTTTTCTTTCTTAATTCTCTTTGTCTCAGACTAGTGAATGAAGAGCGAACGCTGGAGGTTGAAATAGAACCTGGGGTGAGAGACAGCATGGAGTACCCCTTTATTGGAGAAGGTGACATATTGATATTGTTGTTTTGTTATAACTTTCTGCCCTCTGCTTGTGAATACCCCTACCCCTGCCTCACCCCATGTCGTAATGACCACACAGTAAATGCAAGTACAACGTCAACGCTTTTCAGCCAGTTTTAGGTGCAGAAACCCTTTTATGTCTGTCGTATTGGTCACTTTAAGCAGTAGCATTACTGTTTATCCTTCAACTATCTGGCCAAAACTTGCTATCAGGCAGCCTAAGTTATACCAAGATTTAGGGCATTCAGACCTTAGTGGATTGATTTTCACACAGCAACGAAAGAAGACATGTGACTATATTGGCATTAATAAGGTGCTTGCAGACCTCACCTTTGGGATTAAATTGAAAACTCTAAAAGAGAAAAAAAAGCTTTAAGGTTTCAGGTTCAGGAAATCAATGAGTCATTCTTTGTCTAGGAAATAGGTATTTGTTGCTGCACCTGAGGCAGAGGTGACCTTCACTCATCACCTGATATTTGATATAACCAGCTAGAGACACTGTTCTCACAGATAAATTTGACAGTCAGTGCCTAAGGTACTGGCTTAAAAAATTCTGTCTCTACTGCCACATACATTTGCCTGATTTACGGTATGCTGTAATCTGTCATACTAGGTGAACCTCATGTGGATGGGGAACCAGGAGACTTACGGTTCCGGATCAGAGTTGTCAAGTAAGTAATCTAAGGGGCTCCTGCCAACCACCAGAGCACTTCCAGACTTTTCTTGTTTCATGCCATTGGTGCCCTAAGCTGTTACTTGTGACTCTACAATAATGAAGATTTAATTTACAAAATGTTGGATCGGGGCCTAGAATTGAGCCTCGGTTATTTATTTATTTCAATTCCAACTCATGGCAACCCTATACGACAGAGTAGAACTGCCCCAGAGAGTTTCCAAGGAGCGCCTGGTGGATTCGAACTGCCGACCTTTTGGTGAGCAGCCTTAGCACTTAACCACTACACCACCAGGGTTTCCATTTATTTATTTAGGACCTACAAATCCAAAAGATGTTGGAAAGAAAAAATTGATGGGACGAGTGAGGGGTTGAAGGAGGCAAACAAGAACAGAGCCAAGGAAAGCAGAGATTTTGCCTGAGGAAATATGGCGCCATGTAAGAATGGGCCACTCTTCCACAGAGAGAACGTCCGTTACATAGTAGGCAGCTTTTCTGCAGAAAGAGGTCTCTGGGCTTCTCTCAGCATGAGTCCTGCTTAGGTCATAATCTTGCCAGAGACTCAGGCTTCCTTGTGTATTATTTCTCCCATTACTCGTCAGAAACCCGTGTGATCTTTGCGTCTAGGGATTTATTGAAATAGGGTTCCCACCTGATACGGAGAATGGGCCCCCCACTGCCTAGGACTTTTCCCTCACTGCACTCTAAAATTTCAGTGATTTTTTTTTTTTTTTTTAATTGTGCTTTAAATGAAAGTTTACAGTTTAAGTCAGTTTCTCATACAAATATTTATACACACATTGCTATGTGACCCTAGCTACTCTCCCTATCATGTGACAGCACACTCCTCCTTTCCACCCTGGATATCCCATGTCCATTCAACCGGCTCCTGACCCTCTCTGCCTTCTCATCTCTCCTCCGGACAGGAGCTGCCCATTTAGTCTCATGTATCTCCTTGAGCTAAGAAGCACTCTCTTCACGAGTATCATTTTATGTCTTATAGTCCAGTCTATTCTTTGTCTGAAGAGTTGGCTTCAGGAATGGTTTCGGTTCTGGGTCTGTGATCTTTTCCCCAGCTCTCCTTCCCTACCTTTCTTATCACTCCCCAGAGAAACTGGAACATGCGCTGTTCCCTGAATAAACCCCGTGCCTTCTCAACTCCGGGTTTTAGCCAGAATTTCCTCTTGCCCTCTCCCCACCCCCCAGCTTATCTGCATGTCTAGAGCCTACCTGACCTTGTGAGCCCAACTCAGGAAACCTCCACAAACCCATTCCTGATGTCATCTCCCCCGGCCGTTGCCGAAAGTTATCTTCCTCTCTTTCCCGTAATCGAGTCACTTACAGTTTCACTCACATGCTTTGGCTTCTGCTGATCACAAGCTCCTGAAGAACAGGGTTTAATAAGCCTTACACAGCTTTATAGTTTTGGTTAATACTGTGCACTGGAGGACTGGCTAATAAATGCTAACTGTTTGAAAGAGTGGTGGTCATCCTTTTCCAAGATTTCTCTAGAAACTTTTTGAACTTTTCTGAAGGGAAGATGGGAGCTAACTTTTTTTTCCCTTCTGTTTTTAGGCACCCAATATTTGAAAGGAGAGGAGATGACCTATACACAAACGTGACAATCTCACTAGTTGAGTCTCTGGTTGGCTTCGAGATGGATATTACTCACTTGGATGGTCACAAGGTAAACAAACTGATTTTCCTGTCCTGTTAAAGCCTGAGTATGGGTGGTTTTGCCATTACTTGGGCCACTACAGTCATTTAGAGCCACAGGGACTCCCGTGGGTCTTTGTTCTGCCTTCTCTCCCCGCTCTGCTGCACAGTGTCTCCCAGTAACAGTACCTCAGACCTTCCAGCTCCTCAGGGGTGACTGCACAGCCTTTGGCAGTCTTGCTTCTATAGTCTCCACTGGTAGAAGCCTTACTTTTTTATTTGCCTACGTGTTTAATTTTTCTCTAACGTTGAAAACCTTTTCTTTCTTTGGCTCACGTTGTCCTAGCGATGTCTCCCTTGGCCCTTCATCCTTTCTTCTTTGCTGAGCCTGTGACCCTAGCTGTGCGTGTCAGTCCTCACTACCTTAGGAGGGCTAGTCCTGTTCCAGTCCCGTCCCTTTTGCCTTCCAGGTGCATATTTCACGGGACAAGACCACCAGGCCAGGAGCCAAGCTGTGGAAGAAAGGGGAAGGTCTCCCCAACTTCGACAACAACAACATCAAGGGCTCTTTGATAATCACCTTCGATGTGGATTTTCCAAAAGAACAGTTAACAGAGGAAGCCAGAGAAGGTGCGGGGTGTGAGCGTGTGTGCGTGGGAGGGGGTGGGGGACGAGGTAGTGCGAGTATGAGAACAGGGTGGTTAAAGAGGGAAGACAGTGAAAACAGAACCTTCTGATGACATTTGTGAGCTACGGATCGGAATGAATCCTGCTTTCTCTGTAAAGGCAATACTAACAACCCTTCTGTCGCTGTGACAAAAGGCTGTGTAAGCTGGGCTTTGAAACCTAGGAGATGGGGTCGTGTGGGTGTATGAGTGTGAAATAATCACTTAGAACAAATTAGCTGGACCAAATGGTAAGAGGAAAGCTAAGAAATGCCTCTGGAGGATTAGATGCTTAGGGGTGATGTCTGTGATCACTGGTTGAGAAAAGGGCCTAATTGGTGGGCCCCAAATAGTAAAAAAAAATCCAAACCTGTTGCCGTCGAGTCAATTCCGACTCATAGCTACCCCATAGGACAGAGTAGAACTGCCTCAGAGGGTTTCCAGGGGGCGCCTGGTGGATTCAAACTGCCGACCTTTTTGGTTGGCAGCCATAGCTCTTAACCACTGTGCGACCAGGGCTCCAAATAGGAAAGAGAGAGAGGTGAAAACTGAGAAGAGGACGAAGAAAGAGGAGTGGAAGCCAGCCGAAGAGCTTTCTTTCCGTTTTGATCGCCTCTTCTCATTTTTTTCACGGGTCTATGTGGTCCGTGTGCCTGAGAGACAGACGGAAAAAGACCAGGATTATGCTGGATTTCCTTGTGCGTATGTGGGGATATCCCTATGGCGTGAAGGTGAAGATTAGTAGTTGTTATTTGCTTGTTTAATTCGAATCAGTGGTTGTCATCAGGCGTTTTGTGAGCCTCCACATGATAGACGCTCTTTAAACTCTAGGAAAGTTAGTATGTTTTTGTTAATGGATTCATTTGTCCATTCTTCCTTCAGGTATCAAACAGCTGCTTAAGCAAGGCTCAGTGCAGAAGGTGTACAATGGACTGCAAGGATATTAAGAGCGAATAAAATTGGACTTTGTTTAAAATAAGTGAATCAGTGATATTTATTATCTGCAGGATTTTTTTTTGTGTTTTTGTTTTTATTTTCAATACGCAAGTTTGACTTAATTTTTTTTTTCTTCTAATGATCGTCATGAAACGAATAAGTGGGCTTAAGAATTTGTCCATTTGCACTCGGAAAGAATGGCCAGCAGAAGTTTAATAATACCTCTCCCTTTGGGATTTACTGTCTGGTGCTGCTGCCCGAGTTTCAAGAATTAAAGCCACAAGAGGACTCCAGGTGCAGAGGAAGCACCGTATAGCGGGTTGAAGTTAACTGTCAGCTGTTTCATTCAAATGCCAACTGGAGAAGTGCGTTTTTTAAATACAATTCGTTGTTACTTTTCCTTGACTCCTGTTTCTTGTTGGTCTAGCTACGCTGGTGTCTCTCCCATCTCCATTTTAGTCATTTTTCCTTCATCTGCCCAGTTTCTCTCTTTGCGGCCTGTGAGCTATTTAGAATGTCTTCTACCATCAACCAAGATGGATGCAAAAACCAAACCAAACCCACTGCCGTCAAGTTGATTTCAACTCATGGCGACCCCGTAGGGTTTCCAAGGCTGTAAATCTCTACCGAAGCAGACTGCCACATCTTTCTCCCATGGAGCAGCTGGTGGTTTAGAACCGGCGACCTTTCAGTTAGCAGTTGATTGCTTTAACCACTGGGCCACCAGGGCTCCTTAAGATGGATGCCCACGCATGCAAAAGAGTGATAGAGATCCAGCCCCCATGCCCAGTTGTACACACATGACCTCTTCTAGAAAGCACTTTGAAGAAACTGAATAGATTTAGAGATGGGGGTAGACGAATCAAGTATCTTTAGATCTTTACACAAAGATCTAATTGTCCTTGAAAAAATACATTTCCTCTCATTTAATTTGGGAATAATAAAATCTGATGTGGAGACTTGACTGTTTAGAAAGCAGTTTTCATAGGTACATTCTCAGTTGACCTGTTGATTAGAACGGCTCTAGAAAGTGAGCGTAAAGCAGAGTTACAAATTACATTTGCCTCTTCAGTGGCACCTAATTCAGATGGTATGTGACCTTAATACATTTAATTTTTTCTTGTGGTTTAGTTGAAAGTTTACAGCTCAAATTAGTTTCTCAGACAAAAATTTATACACACGTTATGTGACCCTAATTGCTCTCCCTGTATTGTGACAGCACACTCCTCCTTTCCACCCTGGATTTCCTGTGTCCATTCAACCAGCTCCTGACCCTCTCTGCCTTCTCATCTCACCTCTGGACAGGAGCTGCCCGTTTAGTTTCATGTATCTACATGAACTAAGAAGCGCACTCTTCACGAGTATTATTTTATGTTTTATCGTCCAGTTTAATCTTTGAAGAGTGGGCTTCGGGAATGGTTTTAGTTCTGGGTTAACAGAGAGAGTCCAGGGGCCGTGTCTTCTGGGGTTCCTCTAGTCTCAGACCATTAAGTCTGGTCTTTGTACATGAATTTGAGTTCTGCTCCACGCTCTTCTGCTTCGTCAGGGACTCTGTAATACGTTTAGTTTTTGAAACTTCTTCACTTTTCTATATTCTACAGTCACATCCCACACTACTTTTCATGTCCTTTTGGACTTCTTGCCTCTGCTATTGAATGTTTCAAGTTGTTGGCAACGTGTGGGGAACTGCCTTCCAGCCAGCAGTATAGTTCCAGCAGATCCCCACATGTAGCTATACAGTGGCCAATGCTATGATTTGCCTTTTCATTACATTTTGGTCCTATTTTAGAAAAATAAGTAGAGAAAGGAAGGAGGGGAAAAAAAGGAAATTCATCAGTTTAGGACAGTTGAGAAAAAGGTGGAAAGCCGCTCAGTTTTAGCCTCAATCAGGTGCCGTTTGGACTTGAATAGTCCAATTGTGTTTTCAATTGTGAAGGATAAGAACAAAATTAAAAGGCTTATTTGAAATGCTGAAAATCTATCATCAGAAATCAGATGAAACAACCCATAAATACATATTTAAGTTCAGTGGACTTTTTGTACATTAAAGTTTCCTTAAGTGTAAAAGTACTGAATTGCCTCTAAACCTGTTGCCATCGAGTCAATTCGACTCACAGTGACCATATAGGACACAGTCAACTGCCCCGTAGCGTTTCCAAGGAGCAGCTGGTAGATTCGAATTGCCAACCTTTTGCCTCTGGTTGAGCATCTCTTAGAAAAGATCGACATTTTCCTTACATGTCCTAGCCCAGGAGAGCTTTTGATCATCATCTTCCCAAGATGTTTGCAAGAGTCAGTCATGACATTATGGGAGAGAGTTAATTAAATTACTAGTCTCGGCTGGAAAGACCCCAGAGGTGTAATGCTCTTCCTACAAAGAAGAATGTTGATGGGCTTTATCTCTCTTTCGCGATGGCTCCGACCGGCCTGACTTAATGAGTCAGAATGTTCTTTTATCATTGGACTCTGCACTTCAGTTAACTTCCGAAGCATGTTGTAAGTTGGAAAGATTTGTACCAAAGTTCCATAGTTTTTTTTGTAATAAACTGTAGGAGAGAGGGGACAGGAATGGCGGCAGGATCATAAAAGCAAGCTCCACTGGTTTCCAAGCATGGTGCTAGGTGCCGGGGATAGAAGGATGCCTGGAGCACGACTTTCGTCATTAGGAGTCTCACGTTCTAGTGCAGGGGTTTCCAACACCGACCCAAACCAAATAACTCACGCTCAATGCAGAAAACTTGGAGAACACACACACAGACTGCACAGATGCCAGACAAGATTTTTAACAGACACACACATGCACAAAGAAACCACCTCTGAAAACAAATTCGCCGGTACGCAAGGCCTAACCCGTGGCCGGTGAGGGGTTTGAAGTCTTTTAGCTGCATACCGAAAACTGAGTGAGCTTAACACAGATGGAGTACCTATAATGAAATGATGACCGACAACAAAAAGTGTCAGCTGCTTATCCAAGTCAGAAGAGAAAGCGACCCCGTCCTGCGTCCGCTGCATTATTCCTCACAGCGAGTTTGTGCTGTGAGTCTTCCAAGTCCAGTCTGCTGCAAGAGCAAGCAGTTAAAGCTGTATCGCCTTCACGGGTAGTTAATGCCTTTGGAGGAGACATTTTGAAGACATTGAAGCAGATGTGAGGATTTCTTTGGTTTTAATTATAGAAAATGGAAGAGTTGTTTGTTTTTTTAACTCAGATCAAGACCTTTGAGACTTAAATTCTCTGAGAAACTCGTAAGAAGAATTCATAAGAATAGACTTTTTAACAGATGTGATATTTGAATATACTGAACCTCCAACTCTGGGGTACAACTCAAAACAAGTAATCCGAGCATGTATGTGCATACAGAGAATTCGATCAAGGAGGACGTGTCATAAACTCAAACTGTCATTAACTACCACACCAGGAGTTTTTTTATGACGGCCTTTGAAGTACAAACCTTCGGGTGTGCCTGAATTTCAAGCCCAGGCCTTATCACGTGGCTCACTTTCAAGAGGGATCGGCTGAGTTGAAAAGTAGCCTGGGGTTACTAGCCATGGGGGTAGTGATCCTGCAATTTTGGTGATAGCATACGAACCCCAGAATAATCACAAAATTTTGGACTATATGGCCAAACTCTGGTCCACTTAGTCCACAGATATCTTGCTGTAGAAACTGAGAGATCCATAACTGATATCACTGCTATAAACCCATGTTCAGATAGGAGACACACTCTGGCTGATACACCCCATCGTTGTCCAGAAAGTAGTCTGTGAAATTGTAATGTTCTCACTGGTTTGCTCAAGTGTGACTGTGCTCAGCATCAGGTGTATAGTTGTGACTACTAGCTCTGCAGTCAGACTGTCTACATTCAAATCCCAGCTCTGCCCATGAGTAGCTCTGTGGCCTCAGACAAGTATCTTAACCTCTCTGAGCCGCTGTCTCCTCACCTACCTCATTTTCTGAAGATTAACTTGATGTATTTAAACTACTTCACACACTACCTAGCACATAGTGAGCACTCATTAAATATTATTGTTACTGTTAGGTAAAAAATGTGATTAAACTTTTTTTTAATTTAAATTATTTTTTGGTGAAAATGTACACAGCAAAACATACACCGATTCAACAGTTTCTACATGGACAGTTCAGTGACATGGATGACATTCTTCAAGTTGTGCATCCATCCTCACTATCCTTTTCCAAATTTTTTCACCACCATTAAAATAAAGTCGCTGCCCCCTAAGCTTCTCCTCTGACCTTTCAAGTTGCTGTTAATCCCATACAGACAATTCTTTAGAAGAGCACGGTGTTCAAGGCAAACATTCTTTACTAATTAAGTCATTGTTTGGTTTAAAGATAACTTCAGGGAATAGTTTTGGTTTAAGATTTGTGATTTAATTATTTCTGAAACAATTTGCACTTTTGTTAGAACGTCATCTTTTTGAAAGGAAGGCTGGTTATCCTTCCTTCCACCATGTTACTGATGAAACATTCATCGAACTGCCGTTGTGTGGGTTTCTGACTCTCTGACGCCTCCTACTTTGGAAAAAACATAGGAATGTCCCTGCTGCAGGATTTCTGCAGATGATGGACACCACGTTCTCAGTCTGCTTCAGGCCCAGAAAGACAGGAACTGCTAGAGGAGCATGCACTAAACAATGAAAGGGGGAAAGGCAAACCAACCCCAGAGCCTTACAAGAAAGGAAAGCAGGTGTCTCAGCAGCTGACCCGAGACGGGTCATCTGGCATGGGGTGTATACAGCAGGAAGCCTCAGACGTTCCAGGCCTTCACTGCTGGAGCTCAGGCGGCCAAGAGTCACAGCCCAGCCCCTACTTTTGATGACCTTCCTGCCCTAACCCCCTCCCCTCCAGGACTAGAGTGACCACCTCATCCTTGTGTTTGAGTCTTCTCAGTTTTAGCACTGAGAGTCCCATATCCTAGGAAATCCCTTTGTCCCAGGCAAACCAGTATGATTGGTCCCTAAGGTTCAGTGCCAAGGGGGCGCCTGCAGCTCACGTCATCCATCACCATCGTGGACAAGTGCAGA